GACTGGAAAAAATTTTGCGAGCCCTGCTAAACCATGTTCTTTTAAGTAGAAAAATGCTTTTTTTCTGGCAACCCTTTTAATCCAAGGCACAGTCATACTTGTTCAGTCTTTTGCAAACTGAGCTTTAACATTTAACTAATAATAACAGAGTCCTGTAGAGTCTGAGATTTGGCTCTTGGGTTTTCTGTATTTTCTCTGAGCATTTTACAGAGGTAAATTTATGGAGATTTTTACTCCTGGGAAGATTATGGCATTGTGTTAGCACACACCTGAAAGTGTGAATAGTTATCTGTCTCTCTGTGTTGGCCCTGCGATCTGTTCAGGGTGTACCCTTCCTGTTGCCCTATGGTAGCTGGGAGAGGCTCCAGTTTCCCCATGAAGAGAATGGATGGACGACCAGATTAATTAAAAGAATTTAAAAAAATGTAAATCCAGGTATCAAATTAGTTGTCTCATTTAATTGAACAACTTTATCTTTCTACCCCTTTAGTCTTCACCAGGCATATCTAGGAAGCAAGACAAGCCTCTTCCAGCCCCACCTCCTCCCCAGAGGGACCCACCACCACCTCCTCCTCCCGAGCATCCTCCTCCTGTCCCCCCTGAATCACACCACTCTTCGCTCCCCAGTTCCTCGTACATGTCCTCTTCTTCTACAGGCATGCTGTCAGAATTCCAAATTTCCTCTGAGACTTGGTGCTCCAAAGACAGCCATTTGACAGATGCACACAAGACTGGAGGGGAACACCAACTCCAGCTGGGACCCACTGTGCCTTGTCACTTGAACAGAAGACCACTCAGTTGTCCATCTGTGGAATTTGTGAGGTTACATCAAAGGTTGGACGGGGCAGGAAATTCAGAGAGCTCCAAGGTAAAGATTACGTGTCTTTTAAATATTTAAAATGATAAGCCAGTACTGGACTGTATTTTTTTGAATTTACTAAGTAAAAGAAAGGATAAACTCTCACAATTCTGGGAGGAAGAATCCTAACTGTGACTTTGTTTAGTCTCTTCATTCTGCCCTGTGAGGTTCGATGTGTCCAGAACTGTGGGATGGGTTTGTCATGGTTCTTTGACCCAATGTTTTGTTTGTGTGGACTTTTGAAGCTTGTTTATTATCACTGTTGTATTCTTAAAGACTGATTTATTTTTCTTAGTTTAGTTTCCATGTGTTTATGAGTTTCTGATTATTGTTTTACCTCAGGGATTCATGTTAGTTTGGATTTTTTAGTTTTCTTTAGCATTTCCCCTTTTGTCTTACCCTCTGTCCTTGTTTATTACCCTTCAGTAGGGCTGCCACAAACGATTATTTTGATAGTCGACTAGTCACCGATTATTTTTGCGATTAGTCGACTAATCAGATCATGCATCCATTAGACGTACAGCTTATTGCACCAGCATGCATCTGCTCTTATATAACTATCATTAGCTTACAGCTTTAAGTGTATGTGCTAACTAAAAATAAAGACAAGATGATAGTTTATTAAATTTTAATGAAATTTGCAGATTGTTTCGGTGAAGTTTAATAAACTCCTTGCTATCTAAAATATAACAGGACACCGGAGTATATTCTCGAGCATCTCACACTTCTGATAATCAGCTGTCTGCTTGACGTTTATTCAGCTGTGTAAAAACTATAACTTTAATCTCAGCCAAACCGATTTACTCAGGAACAAATAAAATACTAAAAAAAAGCCAAACAATAACATTTTTAAGTTATCTAAGTGACTTATATATGTTTAACCTGAGTAGCGAAAGACGCGGTGGGTTTGAAAACGATTTGCAGGGAGTCCGGTGTTCTCACGGCTCTAGTGAGCCTTGCCCCCGGCTAGCTATCGAGCTAGTGGGTAACAGACATCTCCGAAAACGTCGGAGCGCTTTGAAAATATGTGGTGTCTTGATAAACTGAGCAGATATTTGAGGTTTACACAGTTACATTCTCGCGACAGACTGGCGACCTGTCCAGCGTGTACCCCGCCTCTCGCCCTATGACAGCTGGGATAGGCTCCAGCGCCCCCCGCGACCCTGAAAAGGAGAAGCGGAAGCAAATGGATGGATGGAGATGATGTAACGTTTATTTTGTGACCCAGAAAGAATAATAAGAGTAATATTAAAACTAACTAGCTGCCGCCATTGTTGGAAACTAAGCTGGGCTGCGCTATGAATTCTGGGACACAGCTTCTTCTTCGGGGTTTAACGGCAGCTGGCATCCTTGTACATAGCACTGCTGCCATCTTCTGTTTCAGTCCGTTATTACACTCTTAAATTCTAGCTACTTATTCCTGCGTCTTTTGTGATCTTACAAAGCTTCAAACGACGCGTCGACTATTAAATCAGTCGTCGACGATTTTGATAGTCGACGTAATCGTGACTAGTCGACTAATCGTGGCAGCCCTACCCTTCAGTGTCTCTTTCTCTCTCTATCTACATCTGTGTCACTTCATCTCTCTCTCATCCCAGTCAGACCTCGGTGTTCTGTCTCCCTTCCCATGTTCTTCTCTGTATTTTATCCTTTGCCTCCCCAGTTTGTTATGTGTTTCCATGTTTGTTTAGCCCCGTCTTAGTGTCAGGCTCGAGTGATTATGTCTGAGTCTCAGTGTTTGAGCTCCTTCCTGTTATCTTTTGGTAGTTCTTGTCGCATTTGTATTGTTTTCTGTTTTGCTTCCCCTATCTGGTTATGTCTGATTTGTTCCTGCTGTGTTCTCATGTGTTTCCACTCCCCTGATCTCCCCTCAGTGCATATATTGTCACTGTTTTCCTCTGGCCTTTGTCAAAGCATCTGTTCATCTACCCTCAGGTTTCTTCAGGTTCCATGGGCTCTGTTGCTAGCATGTCACGGTTTAGTTTCTCTGTTTTAGTTCCCCATTCCGTTTTGTTTTTTTATTTTTGTACCATTCGACAATCAGCCTTAATAAACGGCTCACCTCCAGTTAACTCCTTCCTGCCTCCCAGTGTTTGCATTTAGGTCCTCACTTCAAGCTTCCCTGAGTCTGTACACCTTGAGACCTTAATAGGATTACATGGCTCTGTAGCGTGCTGCTGTGTTAAACTATGTAAATGTGAGCATGTCACTGAATTTGCAGCTAAAAAAAGAACTTCAATATATGTGTATTTTGGAGTGGTGTATAATAAAAAGTCTGACCATAATATGGTAATGCCATATTAATTTCAAGGCTTTCATAACATGTTTTAGATCGAAAGGTAAATCATATAAAATACTGTATTATTAAATTACATTAATATTTAAAAATACAAATATAAAAGGTTTATTTCACAAGCCAATAAAAATTTACATGGGCCATTCCACTGACCTGAGGGTTGTAAGGTTGGACACTGAATTATTATTAATATTAATTAATACTACAACGTCATAATGTCTGTTTTCGGCAGCACAACACTTGCCTCCTCATGTCAGAAAGCCTTCCAAGAAGAAAGATTATTTTTTATGCCTTAGTTTAGATTGTATGTATATTATTTTATTTGACTTTGACTGTACTTTAGATTATTTATATATTTTTGCATTTAAAAAATGTTTTCTTTAAAAGCTTAAATTTCAATATGGTACGTACAAACAATCACAGCATTTAGTTGTTGTTTTTTGACAGATACTGTATGCAGCTAAACTTTAAAACATTGCACTTTCTAAAATGGAAACCAATGGGTTAGGGTTAGGTTTCATTCTAAAAGACCAGTGTTTTTTCTCGTTTTAATATTTATTATTACTTGTTAACAAGACAAAAGTACTTTTTGCAAAATTACTTGGTTAATCAATGGAATAATTGATAGATTACTCTACTAAAATAATAGGTCGCTGCAGCCCTAGGTTACTCTAACATTTGGTTAAATCTTTTCTTGAGGACTATAATGGTAAATCTAAATATTTTTGGAGATTCTCTAACATTTCTCTTAGACCCAGTGTCAGATCAAAATTTTGACCATTACAAAAATAAATGTTATCTTAACAGCCTCCATTGGACGTTCTATCTCACTTAACTAAGATGGGGAATACTCTAAGATTGCTCAAAAGTTTGTAATAAGCATAAGCTTAACAAGCATCATGATCACTGATCAGTTTACTTTTTATTAAACACAAACTTTTCCTGGACTGCCGTTGGTGGATTCATGGATGTAGTCACTAGTCATTGGGCTCCTTCCTTCTGCTTAGTGTATAGCTTCAGGTTGCTGGACTTGGGTTAAACCCTCCATGCATGGTCAGTAGTTTTCTTGTCTTGATGTCAGTGGCTTCTATCTCCTCCTTTGGCCAGCTTATTATCTCAGAAAGGTATCTGACAATTGGCAGGGCATAGGTGTTGATTCCTTAGATGTTGTTCTTCCCATTCAGCTGACTCCTCGGGACTTGCCTACTCTCTGCAGGTATTTGGTGGTTGCAGCTTTCCAAACAGCCTGTGGGAACACCTCTCAGCTGTTGTTTTGGCCCTCTGGTGTTTCTACCTCTTCCTTTCTATGCCCCTTTCATGTTTAAAACTGTGTGCCCATTCATCTTAGCTTCCCTTCTGGGGATCCTTGGGGATCAGGACTATCCAGCCTTCAGTTAGCCATTCCATTCCATTGGTAGCTGGTTCATTTGTACTGCCAAGTGGAATGTAGTTAGCCAGTAGGCATGAATCATGTTAGGGCCTGGTGCTGTCCAACTCTTCCTGCTTGAGTCTCTGGATGTCTGTCACTTTGACGTCACTGGAGCCTGATCAAAACCGTATTTGTTTCAATTTTGAAAATAAAGTTAATTAACTATTAGGAACTATTGTTTCCTGTGTAAAAGTGGAAATGCTGACAACTGACATTCGACTTTTGTAATGCTGAAGAAATCAATAGATTAATGGGACAGCAGAGGCTTCTGAACATGTCTTTGAATTCTCTGGTTTTAAAGATTTCTTCTGTCCTAGGGGGCACTGCTTTTACATTATTGCAAGTAATAATAATAATTCTCAAAAAGTAATTCATCTTTCTCAGAACACGTTTTCAGTGACTGTAGGAAACATTATTTGAAAAAACAGTTTTTACCCCATAGCAATAAAATGCTGATGGGGTAAGCAACGCATGATTTTGATATTTATGCTACAGGTGAATCTACTAAAAATCTATGAGGATTTTGAATCAGGGTCTATTTTGGGAATGATATAACTCAAGAAGGAAGTCCCCTTGGATTTTCAAATTTATACCATAAATGTATCTACTTGCAATGACAGCTGCCAATATTTTTACAAAAGGTTTTTTTTTTTTTCATCATTAAGGATGGGTTCTTCTACATGAAAGATATTTTGATTTATTTCTGATTGCCACATCACAGATACCACATCCATTTTCTCTTTTGTGTGTCTGTGCAGCCCTTCTGTAATGACGAGCAAGTCAGTGATGAGTACGACATCGTTCCCTCACGGCAGTTGCCAACTCAGTCCAAATTTTGTAGTAGCCACAAGTGAGTATCACATCTCACACACACACACACACACACACACACACACACACACACACACACACACATAAATATTTATCTAGCTGGATATGAACAAATATTCCCAGAAAATATCCTGGAAATTTCTGGTTAATCTGCATTTTTAAGTCAGTTTTGATGCTGCTCTAAAACTGTAGATTAACCAGCCTTTGACAAGGCTGTGTCTCAGATTTTGAGTCAAGATTGTGTGCTTTTAAAAAAAATGAAAACCTACTGTTATGCTGTGCATGCTATAGACATCTTGGATACTCAGCTGTATCTGAGAAACTACATGACTTGTGTTTTACCTTATTTTCAGCAAGTGAGCTTTACATGTTTCATGGATTTGAAGTAGATAAAGTGCTTAAAGTGTAAAACACTGTATACATGGACAAATGGGACAACTGTAAAATGCCTTGAGTGGTCAGTAAGATTAAGATTGCTCTAATACATGTATAAACAAAATCTTTCTACTCGCCATGTGGGCTGTTTTTATTCTTTAACCACTTAAGCCCCACGCCCCCGGTACCGGGGGCAAAAAGGAGATCACGTCAGTGTTGCCAACTTAACGACTTTGTCGCTGTATTTAGCGAGTTTTCAGACCCCCTTAGCGACTTTTTTTCTAAAAAGCGACCAGCGACAAATCTGGCGACTTTTTCTGGTGTTATTGGAGACTTATTTATGACGACTTTTTGACGTGAAAGTGCGTATCGCTCCTACTCTCAACAAGCAGCGGGTGCTGCCGTGGGCACCTCGCCCGTGCTAAAGCGCTCACAGGTGGAGGATAGTCCTCCCCCAGCTGCTATCAGGACAGGAGACGTCCACGCCTATGAGTCCAAACTGCAAATGAATCGCGCATGAGCGAAGCCACTGCTCCCGCACTGACTGTAACGTAGTCAGTTCTTCTTTTACTCTTATGCTGTTTTGTGGATCACAAGGTTTAAAACTACTTATAAACACACACACATATAGTAACTCCACCAGAGTGCCTATTTCGGAGCAGGGTTGGAATTGTGACATTAAAAAAAAACAATAATTGCTAAAAGAAATTTAATGTGTAGTTCTAAATAAACACTAAATGCATTTAGGACGTTTTTTACTCACTTTATGTCTCTTCCACGATGTTATTTCTCTCTCCAACAACATAGGTTACAATTACATTAGCATGACCAATTATGCAAATTAGGCGATGACGTCATTTAGCGACTTCTAGCGACTTTTAGGACAACCAATAGCAATTTTCCTTACTGAGGAGTTGGCAACACTGTCATGTTTAATCGGTTATAACACGGGGTGAGAAATATAAGTCCAGACATGTGTGGTATCCACAGAAACCTCTGAATCTCAGCTAAAATGTCATATAAACCATTTCTACAACCACCAAACACATCGAAAACAAGCCATGATTAAACGAGCAGTTACGTAAATGCGCAGAAGACCGCTAAACAAACAAAACCGAACCGGAAATTCTCCAGACTTCATGTAACCGCTAAAGATAGGCTGGTTAGCTTCCAGAGCTATCACTGACTCCACACACCAAGTTTCACCACGATCAGACCAAAATTCACTGAATGAGCCGCAAAAGAAAGGATATTTAGAAATATCCTGTCTCAGAGTGACGCTGAAAAACTAGTTCATGCATTTATTACTTCCAGGCTGGACTACTGTAATTCATTATTATCAGGATGTCCAAAAAACTCACTGAAAAGCCTTCAGCTAATCCAAAATGCTGCAGCAAGAGTCCTGACAGGGACTAGAAAGAGAGAGCATATTTCTCCTGTTTTGGCTTCCCTTCATTGGCTTCCTGTTAAATCCAGAATTGAATTCAAAATCCTGCTCCTCACATACAAGGTCTTAAATAATCAGGCCCCATCTTATCTTAATGACCTTGTAGTACCATATCACCCTATTAGAGCACTTCGCTCTCGCTCTGCAGGCCTACTTGTTGTTCCTAGAGTATTTAAAAGTAGAATGGGAGGGAGAGCCTTCAGTTTTCAGGCCCCTCTTCTGTGGAACCAGCTTCCAGTTTGGATTCGGGAGACAGACACTATCTCTACTTTTAAGATTAGGCTTAAAACTTTCCTTTTTGCTAAAGCATATAGTTAGGGCTGGACCAGGTGACCCTGAATCCTCCCTTAGTTATGCTGCAATAGAGTAGGCTGCCGGGGGATTCCCATGATGCATTGAGTTTTTCCTTTCCAGTCACCTTTCTCACTCACTATGTATTAACAGACCTCTCTGCATTGAATCATATCTGTTATTAACCTCTGTCTCTCTTCCACAGCATGTCTTTATCCTGTCTTCCTTCTCTCACCCCAACCGGTCGCAGCAGATGGCCGCCCCTCCCTGAGCCTGGTTCTGCCGGAGGTTTCTTCCTGTTAAAAGGGAGTTTTTCCTTCCCACTGTCGCCAAAGTGCTTGCTCATAGGGGGTCATATGATTGTTGGGTTTTTCTCTGTATCTATGAAGCACCTTGAGGCGACTTTTGTTGTGATTTGGCGCTATATAAATAAAATTGAATTGAATTGAATTGAATTATTTTACGGCGCTGTTGCTCAATCGGGGGACACTCTCTGTTGAGGAAAAAAGCATGAATTTCTTTGTATACGGATTATCCATTGTTTAAATGTCCCGGGCAGTCGAAAAGGAGGCAGAGCTGTTGAGAAATGCTAGGAGCTAACTGGGCGCTAACTGTATCATTCAAATTTTTATTTATTTTTTTATTAGTAATATAAACATACAAACAAAATGCACCATATATTACAGATTCAGAGAATAGACATTTCTTACATATTAGCAACTTTCATACATAGTGAAAATAAAATATAAAGATGGGGTCACATAATTTAACAAATTATTAACTCACTAAATCAAAATCTTCCATAAAGGAAACAAAAAAGCAGCCTTTTTCTTTTTAACTAAAGTCAAAGATTTAACCGTATCATTCAAATATATTGAATGTCGCAATGTTGGCAAAGAGAGGAAGTGACGTAAGATTTGCGCATGCGGGGTGCCGATCGGGTTTCTGGTACGGATCGGGTAGTGACAACGCTCACTCACCGCCTCCCTCCTGGCTCACAGCTTCTTCTTCTTCCTCTTGGTTGGCAACCAGAGTTAAGGAGCATTACTGCCCCCTGGCAAACAGCTCAGTGGACATTTAGATGAGAAAATATATATTTGACACATTTGAGGAAAATACTAATAAAATAAAATAAAAATAAATGTTCCCTTTAGAAATCTTTTTTTTTTTTTTTTGCTCTTTTTTGAGAGCAAAAATAGTTGTTTTTCTTTTTCAGTCACTCATCTTAGCAGTATTTACATGAAAACAAATTAAGTTTGAGTGAAAATGTACATTTTTTGCACTCTCTTTTCAACTGACTCAGTGACTCAAATGACTCAAAAACCCGATTCACTTTGGTGAGTGACTCATTCAAACCCGATTCAGTAAAAAGAATAGAATTTACCATCACTAATCTGTACCACCTGTAGAGTTTTAATACCTGTACATGAATTGTTAGTCATACAAATCATAGAAAAAAATAATTGAAAATCATAGAAATATCACGAAATAGTTTTAAACCTGTGCTAGGAAATGAAATTAGCATGGTTTTCATGTTAATTCTGCTTAACTACTGGTTTTACCACCGCATCTGCTCTGTAATTGCCTAGAAAACAGAATCTTGAGTTAATATAAACTTCACATTTACAAACAACTGTAGGTCAGAGGAGTAATAAGGCATCCAGCACTGCAGCCACAAGTTTGTCATGTGCAATGGATTTTCCTGAATCAGTAAAAAAAGTCATTGTTCCCATAATATGCCTAAATCATGGATCATCCCGTGTGTATTTAGAATTAGGTATAGTGACTGGTCATAAGTAATGTCACTCACTTGTTTCAATGTTATGAGCTCAGCAACTTGAGATAAATACTGATATAATAATTAGCCCAACGCTAAGATGTTCTGTGATTACTTCACATCCTGCTTTATTTTTACTGTCTGTGTGATGCCAAATCCTCTACAAAGACCTTCAGGAAAAAAACAACATTAGCCAGTTATGCATCCTGTAGATCAGATCTGGACAAATAGATTCTAGAAATAGCTGCAACAAAATCATGTGGTTAGCCATCAGCTCCTGTGAAATAAGTTATTCTGGGTTTAACACAGTGCATTCTTCAACTGTGACATTTGGCATTTTCCAACAATACATTATGGCATCATAAACAACAAAGCTAGTAAATACATAGATTTCTCTACAAGAATCAGTTACACTGAAAGTGGCAGTTAAGGGTTGAGTCTGCACGGCCCACAAGCTTATGTGAACCTAGATAGTCTTCCCATCTCTGTTCGCTGCCCGCTCCTGTGAAAACAAAACCAAACAACGCACAAACATCCACCCTTTTCTAACTGTTTTGGTGAATTGTTTAATAGCATTTACTAATCCTAAACTTGGTGCAGTCTTTAATCTCAGTTTCAAGTCAGCCAAAGCTTTATTTACATTATCAGTCTGTCACAGTCCAGTCAGTCTCTTCATATTTGTCATTGCTGAGAGTGGAGCCTCTCGCGCACATATTTGAGTATCCACTAATAGCAATACGATGTCATATCAAAAAAAGAAAAAACAATTCTTTATGATTTTGGAATGGATTGAATCGCTACAACCTTTTTACACAGAGGGACTTACTGTCGCGTGAGATCACGTGTCCCAGACGAGTGAATTTCTCCAAAGCCCATTGTAATCTGAAGAATCACACTTTGCAAATGTTTCCAGTAAGAATATTTCATAGCGCTTTCATATCAATCTTGCAGGCCTGCTGAAAAGAGAGCTGATTGTTAAATCATCAGCACACAAAATATCATGCCCTGGAGGGGTGACACCTGACAGGTTTTATTTAAGTGCACTGTTACAAAAAAACCCCTAAAACATTAGGTCTAGTTTTAGGACATGTCCAAGCATAAGGCTGTCATTCTCTTAGAAAGAGAAAAC